AGAGACAGGAGATGCCTTGAAATCGCAGGCGAGCGGAAATCCAGAATTGATCAGCTGAAGCGAGGGGTTGCCAGCCGTAGCACCTCTTCTGATCGACAGGATTCAAGGAGTCACAGTTCGAGGCGAAGTTCTCCTGAATCTGATCGCCAAGGTCACTCCAGATCTGGGTCCTTTGACAGCAGAGAAAGAGTGCAGGACAGAGACCGGCATGAGCATGATCGCGAACGGGAAAGAGAGAGACGGGATGGGAGGCAGAGAGATTGGGACCGAGATGCAGCCAAATCTGATTGGTTGAGGAGCAGAGACCGGGACAGGATTCGGGAACGAGACAGACAACGAGAAAAACGAAGAGATCTGGACCGTGAAGAAGAACGTCCGCTCCCTGAAAGTCTGGAAAGAGAGAGAGGTGTCAGCACTTCCTCTCAAGCAGAAATATCCAAGCACAGTGAGACCAAAGCAAGTAAAGATCAGGCTTTTGAGGCCACCTGTCTGGATTCTGCTTCCCAGGAGAAGGAAAGGCAGGATAAAGACCTGGGTGCTTTGCAAGGATTTGAAGATGGAGTTGAAGCAGAGAAAGTGGAAAACATAGAAGGTGGAGATGATGAAACAAAAATAGATGATGTGCAGTCAACGGAATCTGGTGCTGGAGAATATGAGCCAATCAGTGATGATGAATTGGATGAAATTTTGGCAGGTGATGCTGAAAAGAGAGACGATCAGCAAGATGAGGAGAAGATGCCAGATCCGGTGGATGTCATTGATGTAGATTGGTCTAGCCTGATGCCAAAACAGCCAAAAGAGCCCCGAGAGCCTGGAGCTGCTCTTTTAAAATTTACTCCTGCTGCTGTTATGTTGAGAGTTGGCATTTCCAAACAACTGGCTGGCCCTCAGCTCTTCACAAAGATAAAAGAAACTTGTCAGAGATCTTTGGAGAAACCTAAAGATGCAGAGAGCCTTTTTGAGCATGAATTTGGGGCTCTGAATATGGCTGCCCTACTGCGAAAAGAAGAGCGAGCCGGACTGCTATGCAACCTGGGCCCTTGCTGTAAAGCTCTTTGTTTTCGGAGGGATTCTGCAATCCGCAAGCAGCTTGTGAAAAATGAAAAGGGCACAACAAAACAAACCTACACAAATCCTCCAGTGGTGGACAACGAGTTGCTACGGCTAAGCCTACGATTGTTTAAACGCAAGACTGTGCAGCAAGGGTCTGGGCCAGATAAGACAGAGGATTCTAAACTGACACAACCCTATGTTCCAGAAATGTGCCTGTCCTGAGCCAGAGCCTCCTGCCCTATGGTTGTTTTGTTTCACTGTTTGATAATGTTGATGTTTGCAGTCTTACTTCCTTTAAGTATGATGTTGCCACAAGAATGAAAATACTCAAAAAGAGTACCTGTGTGGATTCTGAGACAGAATGACAAGGAAAAGTATTTAGTACAAAAACCGAAGACCACTTTGTCTGTTTTTTGCTGCATGTTTTATGACAAGAGTTCTAACCATGAATTGTCTTTGGAAATGAAGCTTGAAGAAGAAAACATGGACAAAAGAGAAGAAATAGTAATTAAAAAAGAGATTTCTCCTGAGGCAGTTAGATCAAAATTATCGTCCTCACCTTCACCGAGGAAATCAAGTGGTGACCCCGACGTGATAGTTTGGAAGAGCTATACGTTCCGACGTGATAGCTTTGAAAGGCTATACGTTTCCTGCATCCTATACTCATCGTCGCGGACGTCGACTGGGCCCTCATCTTCTTCGCTGGACGGAGATAGATTCTTTTCGTGAGTATGGGAGGAGATCTCTCGAAGGCTCAGAAAGAGCACATTAGGGAATTGAGAGGGATCACTTCGAATAGGTTTAAGTTTGGAGTTCATAGTAGAGGACATGAAGTAGGAAAGAAAGAAATTGAGGACTTATTACAGTATGTTTGGAAACATATTCAGTCATATCCAGAGGGAGGTAGTATTAAAGTAGAGTCCTGGAAAAAAATAGGGATATTTTTGAACGAGGAACCTCGTGCCCCTTCTTCAATTTTGTTAACCTGGAGGGTGGTTATGGATGCGTTAGCTACTCATGAGCAACCGCTCCTAGCACCCCCCGAAGAAGGTTTGCCGCCTTACCATGCGGTACGTTTATTGCCACCGACAGCACCTCCAGATAAATCCAGAGGACTGTCAGGCACTGAAAATACTTTGTCAGAAGATAAGAGTTTGCCTTTAAGAGTTCAAGTAGATGCAGTTACTGCAGCTATTCAAGAAGCAACAGATAGAGGGGAATTATCAGGAGATGATTTGGTAGAATTTGGAGTGGAGATTCAACTTAATCCAGTAGAAATTGGCGTGGACGTTGCTTTAAATCCGCAGCGCGTGTGGAAGCCTTTACCTCTCAAGATTTTAAAGGAAGTTAAGCAAGCAGCAAAAGAGTATGGTGTTAGATCGCCATATGCTCAGGCATTGTTAGAAGCAGTTGGTTATGGAAATAAAATGATTCCAGCTGACTGGAAAGCTCTATTTAATATGATTCTAACTCCAGCTCAATTTTTGGTGTTAGATCAGAAATGGAGACAGCTGGCAGTTCAGAGGGGAACAGCAAATGTTACCGCAGATCAGCTTTATGGAGCTGGTAATTATACAACAGTAGAACAACAGAGAGATGGAATGCCTGAGGAGGGGTTCGTTCTTCTCCCACAGTTAATTTTCCAAGCCATGCGGGCTCTCCCTGACGGCGAAGGTGGTGAGAAGACCTTTACTAACATCAAACAAGGGAACAATGAACCCTATGAAAATTTCATTAGCAGATTGAAAGTGGCTATTGAAAGGCAAATTGACAATCAATTTGCCCGGAACGAATTGCTTTTGAAGTTAGCAGTAGAACAGGCTAATGCAGATTGCAAAAAGATCCTGAATCCATTTATCGCGAGTGGAGAGCGAGAGATCGCTGATTTGATAAACGCATGTAGAAAGGTAGGGAGACAGACTTTTAACATGGAGACTTTAGCTCTGGCTCTGCAGGCAGGAAATAATAAAGGAACTTGTTTCAATTGTGGGAAGCCTGGACATTTTAAAGCACAATGTTGGGCTCCTGGAGGGGGTCACCACTTGTGGTGGTCTGGCACTTGAAATGAGACGCAGGGAACCGTCTGAGCAAATGCCAGCCCCGAGAGAACTCGGGTAGCAGTATTTATTTAAGAAAATGCAAGTACAAAATCAAAACAATGACCTCAACATTACCTTAGCAGCATTACCTCAGCAGGGCCTCAGCAGGGCTGCGAAAAGTCCCATGAGAATATCTAAACACAGAAAGTCCCACGGGAATGGCTCGGCTGGGTACTGTGAACTTTCACCGATATACCTGGTCCATCTAAGCTTTGCAGGTCAAAACAGGACCAAACGCCCATCACAAAGGCAACACTGCCCCCATGAGGAGCGTTTGTAAATCCCCAGATCTTATGCAAAACTGTACGAAGAACTTACAGAATATGATGATTACCACAGTCACCCAGCTGGTTTTGTGCCTAAAGATTGAGTGGAATTCACAGTCTCTCAGTTTCTCACCTGATGCCTTAACTCCTGTTGGCTCTCATTTATTTCCAAAAGTGTTCTATTAAACCCATGATGGTGAGGGGTTCAGGAGAATTTTAAAGTTTGCACATATTTCTGTTAATATTTGATAGTTGCAGAAAGATTATTGCCCACCCACATGGTGGCATTAGCTAATAATGGCTTATCTAAAAATAAAAACCCAAGCAGGGTTTGACCTAATAAGTACTTGGATTACTGACCATCAGAAAATATTAGCTTGGGCGAGCTAATGAAGTAAGAAATGACAAATCTTCCATATCTGGGCAAATTACATCTAGGAGTCTATGAGTGAGCTATAAATGAGCCTATAAATGAGTCTATAAATGAGCTCAACTCAAATGAGACTTAGCTTAAAATAAGAATAGTAGGTTTTGATGGATTTTGGATGATTTGTTCATATTTAAGCATAGCTGTATATGCATCAGGGATAGTCTGCTACTGGTTTGCCCCAGTTTGGACAAACCCGTAGCTAATTTTATGGTTAGTTTGGTGAACCATCAAATCCCACTCCTGGCTGGCCCCGCCCCGCCCATCCCACCCCTCCGAGGAGTCCCCACATGGCCCGTTTTGGATACCAGGTAAGTGCAGGGCCTGCATGGAGTCTCAGGGAGGGTGAAAAATGGGCCTCCAGAGGGCCTCTGCAGCCCTAGGGGGCCATTTTCACCCTCCCGGAGGCTCGAAGTAAGCCTCCACAACCCAGGGAGGGCAAAAATGCACCCCCTCCATGGTGCAGGAGGCTGACTAGGCCACACCCACCTTGGCCATGCTCACCCAGCAATCGGGCAGAGAAGCGATTGCTAAAATTTTTGAAGCCCACCCCGATATTCATATTTCTGATAGTCTATCTTTTAAGAGCTGCAGTGGCACAGAATACAGTACTGCAGGCTACTTCTGTTGATTGCCAGCTGCCTGCAGTTTGGCAGTTCCACTCTCACCAGTTCAAGGTTGACTCAACCTTCCATCCTTCTTAGGTCAGTAAAATGAGGACCCAGATTGTTGGGAGCAATCTGTAACAAAAATCTATTTGATTCAACACTACTTCAGTCTAGTATAG